AAAAAAAAAAAAAAAAAAAAAAAAAAAAAGAACAACTCATATTTATATAAAAGTTACAAATATTCATATATTAATAAAAAGTTTAGTATATATAATAATTTAAATATCTTTTTTTTTTTTGAAGTTTTTTTTTCAAATATTTTAACTCATTTAAGGGATAAGACGAACAATAGAATCATCAACTATTGTTTCATATTTATCTGATGAATAAAATTTACATTCTTTTTTTACATTATCTAATAACTTGTTAACATCTTTATTTTTCATATATTCATCATAACAATCTTTATTTTTCCATAATCTTAATTGTAAATAACTTAATGGAGAATTATCCCAATTAATTGCTTTAAATAATTTTGTATATTCATATCCTTTATTTTTAAATGTATGAATATTTAATTTATTATAATTTTTCTCAAAATTTCTTATATTTTTATTATCCACTATATATTCATCAATATATATAAGATCACCATAAACTCCTTTATTTTTCTTTTTTTTTTCATATTCTATTTTACCATAAATATACCCACAAAAACTACCAATAAATAACCAAACGAAATTTCTATGACCAATACTTGACTCTTTATACCAATTTGAAAAACTTTTTATCTTCTGCTTTAATATGATAAAGTAATCTGCTTTTTTCATTTTTTTTTTTTTTTTCTTTTTTTATTTAATCAATATTTTATTTATATATATATATATATATATATTATCTGAAATATGATATTTATAATATCTTCTCAATAATATTTTAAAAACAGCTTTTTTTCATTTTAAGTATATTTTTTATTTAAAATTTTTTTTTTAGCTAGTATAATATATTAAAATATTTTTTTGTCATTTATATAAAATGTAGAATTCATTATAAAGAATTGTCACTATATACATTATTGTATTTTAAAAAATTAGAAAAAAGTATAAAAATTATTTTAAAAAGATGAATTAAATATATATATATATATATATATATATTTATTATTTTAAATATTAATGTTTTTATTTTATTGAAAAAGGAAGAAACTAAAACAATATATAAAAAAAAATAAATTATTTTAAACAAAATTTTATTTTTTATAATTAAAATATCATTAAAATATTCTAAAAACCTATTATATAAATATTTTAATTATTACACATAAAAACACAAAAACATTTTTATATTTTATATTATTTAATATATTTGACTACATATTTGTTTATTTAAAATTATATGTAACGTGTATTTTTACTTTTTAGCTATATTTCATATTTAAATAAAAAAAAAAAAAAAAAAAAAAAAAATAAAATTATTTA